AGTGGCTTCTCTGCCTTCTTATCTTCTGCTGCGCTGCTCTGCTTCACCTGCACAGCGTTTCTCTTGTGATGCTAACGGTGTCGGTGTCTTTTAAGTTCCCAAAGCTGAGAAAAAGCCAGAAGAGAAGCCGACAGCAGCCGCGAAGGAACCGTCACCACCGAAAGGTACCAACATACTTCAGATGTTGGCTTTGTTGTGTTCATCCCTGTTCTCACTCTTTAAAGCTGTGTATTGATTGTAATTGTGTCTGTGTGATGTTTCCCTTACTAAACTGAAATGCTGAAGCACCAGAAGCCAAAAAGCTGGTGGAAGAAACGGTTCCTGTAGTTTCAGTTCCAGAGAAGAAGGAAGCTCCTGCTCCCAAAGGTAGAGATGTCTGCCTTCTAGCATCTCTCTGCTGATCATCTGCTGTCTTTACGCTTCTCTCCTGTGGTTTGCTTTAGATTCCTTTCATTGTCCTGATTTCTTTGAGCTTATTGTGTGTTTGAATGTACTTTAAAAGAACCAGAGGAGGTTAAGAAGCCGACTGTAGCTCCGACGCCGCCTGCTGAGAAACCTGGCGTGCCAAAGAAAGGTACTTTGATTTTCCTGTTCGATGCCTTCACTTACTCATCCTCCCCTCTGCTTCTCACCTCTTCACGTCTGTCGCTGTCCTTATGATCCACTGTCCACACAACGCTGTCACTAAAGTCGCTCTTCATCAGTGTGCGTCTACCTGTTGACTGTCTTCTTATTTTTTCAAGCACTTCTTGATAACTTTAGAAGCTACTTCTCAGTAACATCAGCTAATCTCTATGTCGCCTACTTGAAGATGAGCCTCAGGTTCCAACAAAGCCCAAAACAGCTGAGCCCGAACCGAAGCCAAAACCTGCAGCAGCTCCCAAAGCACAACCTGACGCTAAACCTGCAGGGAAGGCTGAGCCGGAGCCCGAAGCTAAGACGGCGCCGGTACAGAAGCCGGCGACGCCGCCATCCAAAGGTATTTCCTGCTGTTGTTTGGATGTGTGCTGAGCTTCTGCAGCCGTGTGTGTGTTTAAGATGTCTTCAGGTGTGTTTGCATAGCTTCACGTGTGAAGCGAATCTTTCTGTCTTTGCTGATCTAAATCCATCTTCATGTTGCTTTAAGTCCCCAAAGAGGCTGCAAAACCAGAACCAGAAACCAGAAAAGCAAAGCCAGAACCAGAAAAACCAAAACCAGAAGTCAGTAAACCGGAACCTCCTGTAACGAAGCCAGAACGTCCAGAACCCATGACGGTTCCCAAACCTGAAGCTGAGGTGAAACAAGCCGAAGCTCCGGTGTCTAAACCAGAACCTTCAAAAACTAAACCACAACCAACAGCCCCGCCAAAGGAACCTGAGAAGAAAGGTATAGAACCTGTCTGGTTGAGATTTGGCTCTTAACCCTCTTAGTCCGACTGTAACTCAGTGGACTGACCGATTGATCCTGTTTGTGTTTCAATGTTTGTGCAAGCAAACGTCTTAATGCTTTAACCTGTGGAAACCTAACCGTGTCTAAGCATTGGATATCACAGAACATTTTACGTTATGATGTCAACGCTAGACGACAGCGACAGTGTTTGCTGGTTGTGTGTGTAGCTCCATGTTTTAATCCTAACAATAAACACATGTTCTTTTAAAGTACCAGAAGCACCACCAAAGAAGGAGGTGGCTGCACCTCCAGCACCACCGGCAGTGCCACAAAAGTTGGACAAAGAGGAAGAAGCAGTACAGAAGAAGCCTGAAGCAGTTAAAGGTAGCTGAAGCCTTTCACACTAAAACTCTTGGACTCATCTTAGAACTTCTGTGGTGTGTTTGTCTAACGTCTAACCTGACCGTTACCGTGTTGTGACGATGGGGCTGCACGTTGTGTTTGTCCGGTTTGTCGAGTTTGTCTCGTCTTGCACTCGATAGAGTGTTTGGTTTTCTCCAACAGCACTCTTCTAGGCTTCTAATATATGTGAATGGTATTCTTTAAAGTTCCTGTGCAGGAAAAAATACCCGAACCTCCGAAAGCAGCCAAGAAACCAGAACCTGTTGTTCCCCCCAAAGAAGAGCCAACAAAGAAAGAGAAAGGTACCCTGAGGTTGTGTTCACTTTCTTGTCCTGTGACTTTTTAAAGTTTTAAATAAGCAAGGTGACATTACTGAAACAACCGAAAGACCTACCAGCAGGTCTACGCATGAGTTCCAGGAAAGCTGTTGCAGATATTTATGGTTGCAAACTTGAGTAGAGTATTCCCTGTTGTGTTTAATGTTCCTTTGTTGTGCGCCAGCACATTGTTCTGGTCTTTATAGTCGTGTCTTGTGTATGTTTTTGTGCCAAACCCTCTTAAAGCTTTGAAGGCCAAACCTAAACCTGTACCCGAAGAGGTGGCTGAAAAAGTTCCTCAGAAGGTGTTTGATGAAGCAGCTGTGTTGGAGCCTGTACCTGAGAGGCTGCCTGATAAAATGCCTGAAAAACAACCTCCAAGGAAACCTGATGTGAAGGAAAAGGTCCATGAGAGGGTCCCAGAAAAAGCACCAGAAGAAAAGGAGAAGGCTCCTCCTGAAAGGAAGCCTGCAAAAGTTCCTCCAAAGGTGGCTGAAGAAGAGAGACTTCCTGAGAAGAAGCCACCTGAGGAGATTCCTGTGAAGGTTGAGGAAGCAAAGCCTGACAGGGTGTCAAAGAAACAACCAGAGAGGATCTCTGTAGACAAAACACCTGAGAAGGTGCCTGAGGCCAAAGCTAAACGAGAGGCTGAAGAAACTCTTCCTACAGGTACAGCTGAGGCAGACCTCCACTTTCTGTTTTATCTCATCGATGAAGAACCATTGACAGCAGTTCAGTTTCAGGACTCGCTCATCGGTATGTGGAGCATTTTGTTGCACACATACTCTCAAAAAATGAAACGTTCAGGCAGATACCCAGCTCATCAGCAGCAGTGCTTTGCTGGTGCAAAGCCACTGGAGGAACTGGGAAAACCGAACAAAAACGACAGGGCCATGTGACTTTACAAGCGAGTTTTAAGCTACGATGATTGTTCTGATTTGACCTGAATAAAGAGCAGAACAGTTTCGTTTTTTGAGCCAGTGTGTAGAGCGACGACAAACTGAGCTGTTGCCTCGTCTTCAAAGCTTTCATGACTTCTTACGTCCCTCTTCCATGTCTTTGACTCTGTTTTGTGTGATTCCCGCTGTGCTGGTTCCTTCTGTCACTTTGTTAACTGTCTAAATTTATTCTTTAAAATGTCTTCTCTTCTGCTCACATTCATCTGGAAATAAAAACTGATCATTTCGAAGAAATCGAAGCCAAGAAGGTTCCGAAGCCTCAGCCCGCAGAGGCTGAACAGCGGAAACAAATCCCTCCTTCTGAAAAAGGTATCGAGCACTGAGAGCGTAATGGAGCGCTTTAACCATCTTAGTCTGTAACTCTTCATGATAATACACAGCAGGTGGATTTTCACCTTTAATCTCTGTGTTGTCTCCTCCTAACATTGTCTCTGTGTTCTGTTGTCACCTCTTGGCGCCGCCTCATGACGCCTCTTCTTCAACAACCTCTTAAACCGTCCAGCAGCTACAAGTCTTGTCAAGATTGAGCGAAAGAAAGGAGCTCAGAAGATACAGGAGGTTTATTACGTGACGGAGAAAGTTTGTCCCACGGAGAAGCTGTGGGAACACGAAGATGCCACGGAGCAACACGCTGAAGTGTTGTTTGAAGACGAAGTGGCTGCTCTGGGCCGAACAGTACTGTCAGAAATAGATGTGTTCACTGAGCAGCAGAGCCAAAGAGAGGAAAGGTCGGAGCTGAGCGGTCAGATATCTGTTACTGACACTGCAAAGAGGAAAGAAAGCAGAGAAATCGACCCACAAACACAAGAGAATGTAGTTTTCATCCGCACAGCCGTCACAGAGCTGCGAGATAAAGCCACCAAAGAAACAGGTGAGGAGGAGGAGGAGTTCTCTGTCAGGACGACGGAGGGAACCTCAGACGACACATCAGTCAGACAGCTGCCAGACAAACCTGAGGCTAGTGTAGAGATGAGCATCACGGCAGCAAGCAGACACCAGGAAGCTATTTCAGACAGAGATGTAGCGTTGGGCAAAGATCTCGCAGAGGCAGAGAAAACCAAACCTTCCCCAGCTGTTGTCAGCACAGAGGTAAGAAAACAGGCTTTGAAGGAGGTCAGCTACGAGCAGTCAGTTTGTCGAGATGAGGGAGTATCTTCAGCTGTTCAGGATAGAACATACAGCAGAACTACAGAGTTTACAGAAGTCACAGCTAAAGACAGAACAACAGAAATGATCCCTCAGAGCAGAGAGGAGGAAGCTCAGACCAAACCAGCCCTCATTTCTGACGCCCAAAGACACGACGCATCACAAAAGATGTCTGTTAAAAAGCAGGAGAATCAGGTTCAATCTGCAGAAAGGTTTGAGACAAACAAGAAAGCTGCTGATAAAGCTAAAGTGGAGGTAAAACCCAAAGAGTCAGTAACAGATATCGATCTTAAGAAATCAGAGTTTGAGTCCGTCGCTGCAAAAACTGAAACCGAGTACAAGACAAAAGAGGAACCCAAAGGTCCTGGAGAGACAAAGGAAGAACGTTTATTGGATGTTCAGACCAAAGCTTTAGCTCCTTCAAAACCAGAGACCACAAAAAGGATTTCAACACAAACGGCTTCCAGAGGTACTGATATCAATCTAACGTCTTCACTGTTCAGCTTCAACTCCAACCACGTCTCATGTTTGTTTGTCCTCCATGTCTTCAAGCTTCATCACTCCTCTGTTTCTGTGCTTTTGTATATTTTTCAAACAATTCTTTTTTATCCCAGTGTGGTTTTGAGTCTTTCTTCTTCTTCTTTTTCTCCTAAACATTAATATTTTGCACAAAACCCAAACAAATGATTCTTTAAAGAAGCTGAAGCCCAGAAGAGTCCCACCACTGTTCCTGCTGCTTTGTCTCATGAAGCTCCAGTTGAGACAAAAGGACTAAAGAGAGGTACAACATCAGCACATCTTCCTTTGTTGGATTCTTATTATTCTGTCTCCTTTAACACCAAATGTTTGTGTCTGTGTTCCTGTTTTTCTCTAATCTCTTGGCACCGCTACTTGGTGCTTTTTCTTCGTACCTTTTAACATTTTGAAGAGACTGCTGCCAGTCTGTTAAAGGATGAGAGAAGAGCAGGAGCTCAGAAGATCCCAGAAGATCTCATGTCAGGGGAAGCAGAAGAGACTGAATATGAAGATGTTGGAAAAGCCATTGAATATGAATCTACACAGACATGTGAACCACAGGAAGGGATGTTTAGGACTGTGCAGGAACCTGATGGTGATATATCTGTTACTGATGGTTTAAAGACACAGGGCCTGCCAACAAGACAAGCTCACTTAGAGGCTGTCATGACAGAAACAAAATCTAAGAGTAGAAAAGCTGCAGCAGTTCTGGAAAAACTCACTGAAAGAAAAAGTCAGGTTGAAGAAAATGTTCAAAAAGAGACTGAACAGCATAAAGTTTCTCAGAGTAGTGAAGTTAAAAATGAGAGTTCAGAAAGTTCAGCCGAAGCTGCATCACATCAAAAACAGGAGACGTTTGAAGCTGATGCAAAGATCCAGAGGCTCAAAGATAAACCTGAATCATCAGTGAGAAAAACAGAGTTACCCAGTAAACCTTTAGGAAAAGTTTGTCTCCCCAAGAAATCAGAGGAATCTGATGTGGAAGAGAAACTGGTAGAAGCTGCCAATATTACCATCCAGTCTGTCCAGTCAAAGGCAGCCACAGTTAAAGATCCCAAAACTACTCCCACTGAGGAGCTGAACAAAACAGAAAACGTCAGTAAATCTGATGAAATTATGAATAGATTTACAGAACAAGATGCTGCCATCAAGTTAAAAGTTAGAAATGCAAATGAAACTATGAAAGGCCTGCAGCTGAGTTCGCCTGAAATGGAAGAAAATATGTCCGAACTTGATGACGTCAGATTTGAGCAAGCCGAAGTTGAAACCTCAGTTCCTCCTGAGACAGATGCAACTAAAGTCACAGATGGTACGAGCTCAGACAAGGTTCCTCTGGAGGAAAAGGGAAGGGGACAGATTCAAGACCAATCTGAGATTATAATCAGAGACAGCAAGTCAACCACAGAAAGACAAGGAGACAGTTCCTCAGTGGAACCAGCCAAAGATCTGTCATTAGCACAAGCTGCTTCAAAATTTCATCCCAAAATAAAGACACAGGTCAGAGACTTTGCCGGAAGTAAGCATCATATGGCAGAAAGCATTTCTGCAAAGGAAGGTGACCAAGGTTCAGAAGAACCACAGAGGTTAGTTAAAGCTGAAGAGGCTCTTGTTGAGTCAGTACAGAACAAGACCACAGTGAAAGATAGATGTTCTAAAGCTAAACTGACTGAAGAGATGGAGCTGACACTCAAACCAAGCCAGGACATAGATGTAGTGGAGATAAAACCTGAAGAGGTTTCTGAAGAACCAGCAGAGAAAGAAGCTGCATTCAGTCCAGAGGAGGTTCCTGAGTCAGAGGCCAGTCCTCTGAAGAACGAAGGAGGACAGATGTTACGTAAATGGGACAAAGCTGCAGATGAAACTGCTCCAGATGCTTGGACTGACCTGAAGAAACCAACAACGCAGCAAGAAGCTTCAGATACACCTGTAACGATCAAAGCACGTCAGAAAGGGACTGCGATAAGTGCCACTGGAAAACAGAGGACAACTGAAGCTACAGGTGATGCAACCAAGAAAGAATCACCTGAACCTGAAAGGACTGTGGTTGAAGAAGACCAGCTAAAGGGGAACACAGTTACAGATCAAACTTTCAAAGTTTTTACTCTTCAAGAGACGACAGCAACACGGCAGCAGATGGAAAGAACTGCTTCAGCGACGCCCATCGTTGAGGAGACATCTGAAGAAGTAAACACAGATCCTGACACCCTGCCAGAAACCAGAAACACTAAAACTAAAAATGTCATCTCCATTGAAGACTGGATACAAAAATCACAGGAACAACAAATTAAAAGGAAAGTTGTGGTTGGAAAAACAAGAAAGGAGGGAATGGCAAAGACAGAATCCAGATCCTTAAAGGAAGCAACACCAAAGACTGGAGATGTTACAGATGAACCTCAGTCAGCAGTTGTTCTGGTCAAAGACAGAGGAAACCAGACACGTCTAGCTGAAGGGGGGCAGCAGGTCCACAAGACTGGGCCTGAAGAAGCAGTGAGAGACGATGCTTCACAGCCTGTTTCCCATAAGAAAAGTGAAAAAGACAAAACTTCAAAGTCAGGAAACTCTAAGAAGGTTACAGAGGAAGAGCGCCGAGACCCAGCAGCTACAGATCTACATACGAGTGTCAGACCTTTGAGAGCAACAGCAATGAAACAGAAACAAGTAGAAACACAGACTTCAGTGGTTTCTGCTGAAAGGCCCACGACAAAACAAACCATTAAAACAGCTGGACGAGCACAGAGCACTGCATTCGATGACGTGGTCAAAGAAAAGGCTGAAGGAAACATGTTGAACCTGGAAACAGATGAAAGCAACAGAGTGGCTCCCCGTGAAAAGAAACGCTTAGAAAGACAAGAACACTTGAAAGTAACCCAACTACAGAGGAAACATTCTGGTGAAGACAAAGAAACAGGAGACACCCGTCAACCAGAACCCATCCCCACAAAGACAGAAGAGACAGAAAAGGTAGCTGGAGAAGCAGAAGAGAAGAACCAGACTCCGAGACCAACTGAAACAAAAATGATGGCTGAGATGAAAGTAACAGAGAAGAAACCAGGTGATCTTTGTCACACAACAGACTTCAAGCACATTCCCCATGAAACGAAGGAACAATCAGAACAAGTTCCACAAAAGAAAGAAGCAACTGAAGAACATCCAAAGTCTGACCAAATGTCAGATATTATACTTGAAGATGTTGTCACAAAGAAATCCAGATCTCTTGAAGCAGAAGGCCAGAGGTTGGACAAAAACAGAAACCTGTGTCTGGAGGAGGTGCAGTCCAAAACAGATATCGTTAGAGATGAATGTAGGAGTTTTACTGTGTTTGAAACGAAACTCAGTCAAGCTACAAAGGCTTCTGTGGCACCTGTGACGGAGGCTGCATCTGAAAAACATCTCATAACTCCACTTAGAGATTTAAAACCAGGTACTCCTCAAAGGTTTATTGTTCTAGACAAGCTAGAAAAACATTTAGCATCAGAAAAAGAGACAGTGAATGAACTACAAAGACAAGAGTCCACCAAGGCAAGTGTGGATACTGTAGCAGGAGATCAAGAGTTTAAGCAATTAAAAGAAGTCACAAGTCAATTAAAAACTGGTAGAACTGCACTAGATGAAGGTAAAATACCATCAAAGCAGGAAACAAAGGCAACAAGAGGAACATTGCTCAGAGGAGATACTACACAAGGACATGAGGAAGGTCAATACAAAGGAGAGGAAACAGGTGAGGGCTTTCAGTCTGCAGTAGACGTAGTGAAAGATGTTTGTCCACCTGTAGACACAAAGCAGCAACAGGCTTCCAGGACACCTGTAGTGGATGCTGCACATGAAAAACCATTGGTTGCAAAAGAACAAGATACATTAGCTGCTGCTCTACAAACGTGTAGTTCCTCAGATGATGGCGTAAAAGTTACTAGATCAGTAGAGAGGGAAGGTTACGAATCAAATGATACTTCTTATGCAGCTAAAACTAAAGAAGTACCGCAAAATACTTGTGGAAAACGCAGCAGGATGGCAGAGGTTGTTGGAACTATTCCAATAAAGTTTCCAGAACTGACTGAATCTAGTGCACCAGGAGAGGAAATTCCCTCACAGATGGTCGCATGTAAACCTGACACAGGTACAGGAAGTACTGTTAAAGGGGAACACGCTGAAATGGCATTTAAAGGATCACGGCTATCAGACATAGTCACAACAAGGATGGAACCTAAAGCATGCAAAGAAGGTTCTAAAGATGAACCAAACACAGAACAGTCAGTAAACAGAGCTGAGGTAGTGTTTGAAAGCCAGGAATCAAAAGACGGTTTTGATGTGAGGCTTTGGCGTGAGCCTGCAGTCAGAGAGCCTTCAGTAACAGATCACACCATCGGAGGGAGGCCGCAGTCGGACGACCGCTTCACGCTTCAACCAACCAGAAGCAGAGAAGCTCCGGGCTGTCGGTCCGTCGTAGAAACAAGGGGTTTGACTCCAGAAGGGACAGAACATGCCTTCCTTCAAGAAGCTTGCAGAGGTACAGAGGAAGAACTCTGTCACTGAGCACTTGTTTTTGATCTGAGCACCTCATCGTATCCAGAGGATGTCATGTCATTCACCCATCTGTCTGAAGTCCGCTCAGGCACTCTGATAGCACCCACTCTGACTTCTGTACTCATACTACTTGTTTGTGTCTGTTTTATTGCACTGTGTGTGTGTGTGTGTGTGTGTGTGTGTAGGTGTAGGTGGGTGTGTGTGTGTGTGTTGTTTTGCACAGTGGAATATTTTCATGTACCTTTCATCCGTCTTTGTGCATTTTCTTGGGGATTTTTCCCGTTATTTGTTCTTGGTTCGGTGCTCCCCCATCAGTCTTGCTGAGTCTGACTGTCTTGTAATTTCATTTCCAAGTTCCCGTGAAGGAGAAGGACTTGCCACCACAAGCCAAAGAACCACCGGCTGCTCCTCAAGAAGGTACCCTTCTTCTTCTTCTTCTTAAATCTGTGTGTTTCTGTGTGAGCAGTTCTTAAGGCATTCGTGACAGAGTGCCACTCTTCAGCAAATCTGAATCTTTGAAACCTTCTGCTGAAGAACATGTCAGTCCGTTCATTAAAGGAAAGCAAAGAAATCAAACATGGGTGTAAACATGGAACAGTAACATGACCTCAGAGCTGAGATGAAGCAGCAGAAGATCTTTTTGGCTGATTTCATGTATACTTGTGCTTTAAGGGAGCAAACCGCAGGTTGCTGCAAAAATTCAAGAAGCTTCCAAAAGGCCTGAAGTCAGTCAGAAGCTGGAGAAGAGAATAACTCCACCAGAAGAAACAAAGCCAGGTATCCTGACAAACATCCTTTTACAAAGTGTGTTTTGGTGATGCTTTCCAATTCTCCAGTTCACTCTTTTTTTATACCTGAAGTGACCAAGCCTGCCATGAAGGCTGAAGAACCAACCAAGACGGTCCCAGCAGAAGAAGAACCCGTTGTAGAGACAGGTAGAGGTCTTTGAAGGACTGAGAGGGCAGCATCCTCTTTGTTCCATCTTTGTCATGTTCTGCTTTGTCTGTGCTACATGGGCCTTAGCAGCAGCTCGGTCCGTTCATTCACTGATCCTGAATCCAACGTGAGCATGCACTGTGCTTCTTGGACACATCTTAGCTTCATGTCACCTCTGTTTGTTCACTCATTTCTCATCTTATTCTGATAAACATGAAACTGAGCTGTTTTATTCTGCATCTTAGTCACATTTTCATCTTTATTAGAATATTTAGAAGCCTCTGAAAGTCTTCCTGTTCAAACTGTCACATTGCTGTTTATGACCAGGTACATGCCTAATTAACATCTTTGTGAACTATACTTCTGTAATAGATGAAACCAAGGGACCCGTACAAGCACCGGGAGGAGTCAAAAAAGGTAGGACCACAGATTACTTCTTACTTTACCTCAGTACATACAGTCCACAGCAACTCGCAGCACCTAGTCAGTGGCTGAACTGGTCACGTAATCACTTGGATATTGTTGGGCCCTAACGAGCTCTGTTTGGTTCACTACATGCATCATCACATTTTCTACCAAACAATTTAAAGTCTGCTAATTATATAATAGTGTAACTGTTGAGTCTTTGTCCACCTGTAAGCCTCTTCTGTTACTGTTTTCATCATATTTTCTAAGTGTTAGGTATGTGTGTCAGTAAGTAATATCAAACCTTTGCTGCCTTAGAAATGGTTCTTCCTAAAAAAGGTAAAGTTCAGTTGGAAGAGGACGGCACATTTGAGATCCCCACCTTAAAGAAAACAACCAGAGTCATGAGGGAAGTGGAAGAGGAGCAGGAGATAATCAAGCTGAAGAAGATCCCATCAGTTCCACCGAAAGAGGCTGAACAAGAGCAGAAACCCCAGAAGGTCACCACAAGCACTGTTTTTGCTGTGGAGGAGATGGTGCAAAGAGAGGCTGTTGAGTTTTCAGTGGCCACCAGGAGATCTGTGGAGGAGAAGACGCCTCGAGAGAAAGCAGACATGGTGAAAAAGCCAGAAGTTATTCAACCTAAAGAAGAGGAACAAAAAGTGTCTCCCAAAGACGCATGGAACCGCCAAAAGCCCATCCCAAAAGATGAAAGACCGGAAGATGAGATTTCTTTAAAGAAAACTCCCAAAGCACCGAAGGAAGAGGAGCCTGCTCCACCTAGTGCAGCGCTAAAGAAAGTGAAGAAGCTGCCAACAGATGAAGAGGGACCAGAAGTTGTCAAACTAAAGCCATTCGAGAAGCCTAAATCAGCAGAGGAGCCCGAGAAAGACAAGAAAGAGAGGCCAGACAGGGACACCCTGCCTTTCCAGAAGGGAGAGAGGACTCCCAGAGAGGTGGAAACCAAAGAACCGCCAAAGAAGCCTGAGAAAACACCTCCAGAGGTAAAGGAGCCACCAGCCAAGGTGCCAAAGCCAGCAGATAAAAAGAAAACTCTAGACAAAGAGCCTGAGGAGGTCAAAGCACCCACCAAGGTGAAGAAAATCCCAACAGTGGAACAAGAGATAGAAAGCGTGAAGCTGAAGCCCTTCTCAAGGCCTTCCAAAGAGGCTGCAGAGCCTGAGAAGAAACCAGCAGAGGAGAAAGAGAAGAAGCCAGTCGATGACCTACAGGGCCGCCCTCGCATAAGTCCAGATGAAAAAACAAAAGAACGAGAACCAGAGACGAGGCCAAAGAGACCAGAGATCCCTAAAGCTCCTGAGACAAAGCCAGAGAAGCTGAAGGAGGTAGAAGCAGTTCCAGTGGAGAAAACAGCGTCTCCCGCCCCAGCCGCTGTTAAGAAACCCGAGAAGGTTCCTGAGGAATCTAAACCTCTGCAGCTGAAGAAAGGAGTCCTACCAAAGGCAGCAGAGGAGAAAGAAGAGGTGGCTCTGAAGCCTGTGGAGCAGCTCAAGAAGGTTGAGCTCAAAAAGACACCATCTCCTAAAACTGAGAAGCTTAAAGAAGCTGAAGCAGTCCCTGTAGACAGGAGGCCAAGTATCGATCGACTCAAAAAGGTTCCTAAACCTGCTTCACCCAAAGACTCTGCTGAAGCCGTGACTCTCAAAAAGATCCCAAAGAAGCCGTCGCATGAGGAAGAGAAGGCTGCAGAACCAGCAAAGCCCGAAAAAGGGAAAGTTCCCTTGGCGAAGGAGGTCTCTCCTGGAGCTGTGCAGATGAAGAAGATTGCCACACAGCCAGAGGAGGAGGTGTTTGAAGAGGAGTTTGAAGCGGAGGAAGAGGCAGAGCAGGAGGAAGAGGAGGCCTGGGGCTGGGAGCTTGTTCCTCGGGAGAGTTATGGCTCAGAGGACTGGGAAGGTGAAGGAGAAGAAGGAGCTCTGGAGGTTCCAGGGGTGGCCAGGAGAGGTGAGACGGTGGCAGCCCCAACTCGTGGGGTGACGACCGAGAAAAACCCTCCCCTCATGACCTGAATAATCTCCACCCATCATGCCTCCATCTAAATCCTCCTCACCTCATCGTATTTTCAGTGTGATGCGAGTTTCGCCGTCCCTTTCTTGTATTTGTGTTGTCATTTTGTGTGTCTGCTCATATTCATCGCTTCCGTACCATCTCATCTTCTACCTCATGGTGTAAAAGCTACATCACTGTAGAACTGGATGTTCACATCTTGCACCATTATGTTTTCTTGTCTGTCTTCATCTCATTGTCATTATGTCATATGTTTACCATCAGATCCATCACTTCATAGTTCTCAACCATTCAATAGACGTTCCAAACCTCCACGTTAATGAAGACATTCCCATTTCATTAGACTGTGAGCCGCAAATTAATTTCATTTGTTTCTGAACAGAGGGACAACCAGCCGAGGAAGCAGGAAGAGGTAGAGGTAGAGGGCTGAAGCGTAAGTATGTTGTCTCACTTAAACTGTGAATTCTCAAGAACATCCCTGTTAGAATCTCAGTCATCCAGCTCATTGTTATCCTCTGAGCTTCAGTAAGAAGGAACTGCACTTCTTCAAGATGTTTCATCTGAGGCTCCAAGGATAGCCCTGTTCTGTTTTGTATGATGATGGCAGTCTGTTGTAAAATTTTGAATTGATTTCCTTTACTTACATTTCAGCCAAGCAGACCCCATCCCCTGGAGAGGGCAGGGGCCGTGGACTGAAGCCCGGCGGAAAGGGCCCACCACCACCAGAGGAGCCCTTCGGGGGATTCAAGCTCAAAGCCGTCCCCCTGAAGTTCATCAAGAAGCTTCAGGACATCGTGCTGCAGGAGGCCGAGTCCATCGGCTCGTCTGCTGTTTTCGAGTGCGAGGTGTCGCCCTCCACCGCCATCACCTCCTGGATGAAAGATGGCAGCAACTTGCGCGAAAGCCCCAAACACAAGTTCACCTCAGATGGCAAAGATCGCAAGTTGAACATTATTGATGTCCAGCTGTCGGACACCGGTGAATACACCTGTGTGGCCAAGAATGCTGGAAAGGAGATATCGTGCACAGCCAAGCTCATTGTTGAAGGTAAAATATTTCTATATTGTGTTTAAGCCTCCGCCAGTGCGAAGTAGCTCATCGCCTCTTTGCGTCTTGCAGAACTGCCTGTGAAATGGATCAAGGAGCTGGAGGAGGAGACGTCTTCTCTGAAGGGTCAACCTCTCTACATGACCTGTGAGCTGAACAAGGAGCGAGATGTGGTCTGGAAGAAGAATGGCACCGTCCTGAAGAAACGGGAGGGCAAGGTTCAGATCAACGTCATCGGCATGCAGCACGCCGTGACCATCCAGAACTCCAACGACGAGGACGCCGGCACCTACACCTGCGAGGTGGACGGACAGGAGGACGTCAAGACGACAACGAATGTCAAAGTGATTGGTAAGCAGAACAGGACATCATGCATGTGCGAAACACTGCAAAAGTCTCTTTTCTGGGCCTGAGCAGCGAGCGGTGCCGCAGCCCTCAGTGCGGTCATACCAGTCAGTAACCTTTCAGAGGAACTATGGTGGCTGTAGAGGCATATCAAAAGTTTCACGAGTTTTAAAGTGGTGACAAATTTAGCATTTCATGGTTCTTCTTTGGTGTTTGTTTTGTGTGGCAAAGTGGCTCGATAGTGCCCCCTACAAACCTCCGCTTCAGGTTTCACACACATGGACCAAATCTGGGAGGCATGAAGCTCAATGTTTACCAGGATGACGTATTTTAATTCAGTCAATACTTTTCAAAGGCCCATCTTTAATAAAGACCAAGAGTAAAAGGGTTTCATCTGAATTTAACCACGTTTCTTTTTATCAAGGGTCTCAGACAATAACTTTAATGTGAACACAACAATAAATTCAGACACATGAATGAGGCTTAATAGGGACAAAGGGATGATCTCACTTTGATACACATTGAATAAAGAAAGCAATTAAAACCTGGAGGGGCACAGAAGGCGACCAGGAAGAAGCTCCCCC